TAATTATTTCATCGTTTTCCTTAAAAGGGTAGTAACCAACACCTTTGACGTTACTTAGAACTTCCTGCAGTAGTTTATACTTTGGTTGATTTAACGTTTTCGAGTACACATAAACGTTATTAAATTTTACACCGTTCGGATTGAAAAGCAGCGAAAGCATAACGTTTGTTTTTCCACAACCACTAGAACCACATATAATTGCTCTAAAAGAATTTAGTAATAGTTTTCCATGTTTACTGCTTTCGGATTTTCTAGTAAAATCCAAATTTTCTATTGGTAACGTCAGTTCCTGTTGAATGGTCTTCATAATTTGAAGTTTTCATTGTTATGAGAATCTATAAATATAATCATTCGTAAGATCTCATTGTCATTATCCATATGTTCGTTTACAGAGGTGAAGGTGTTTTGAACTCTCTGATAAATAATTTACCGTTTGAATTGCACCTTCCTGGATATCAATACTGCGGACGTAAGTATTATTTTGTTTTTAAATATCTTTATTTCATTACATATGTGTATTTCAGCTGGTACTAAATTAAAAAAACGCTTGAAACGGGGCGATCCGGGCATTAATCCTCTCGATTCGTTTTGCAAAGAACACGATATCGCTTATTCACAGAGTAAATCTCTAGAGGATCGTCACAAGGCTGATCAAATCCTCGAAAATAAAGCTTGGGAACATGTTAAATCTGAAGATTCATCAGTTGGTGAAAAGGCTGCAGCTTGGTTAGTTACGACAGGAATGAAGGCAAAACGTAAATTGGGTATGGGTCGACCGAAATTGTTTCAACGTGATATCGTTAGAAAAATTACAAAAACATATCAACCTTCGTCAAATTTGAAAAAAGCCGCCTCTGACGCTTTAAAAGTAGCTAGAGTAATCGTAAAACAAGTCGGTGGACGAAAACGTGTGAAAGTACCGAGAGTAATTCCACTTCCTAAAGAAGGAGGATTCTTACCGTTAATACCGATATTTGCGGGACTGTCAGCCTTGGGTTCACTTGCTGGTGGAGCAAGTGCTATTGCAAAAACAGTCATCGATTCTAGAAATGCTCAGAAAAAACTCGAAGAAGAAAAACGTCATAATAATGCAATGGAATCAATCGGTAAAGGATTGTATTTGAAGAAGAACGCTAAAAGAGGATTGGGGTTGTATATGAAGAAGCAAAAAAACTTCCAATAAAGCTGCCCAATAGACCGTTGTATGATATAGATCTAAGATATTTTGCGAAACGATTGAAAATACCGAATTTTCGCGGTGTTTTCATGCGAGACACATTACCTTCAAATCCATTGAGAAGAGAATGCGCAATTGTCAATTTAGATCTGTCATCTAACAACGGAACCCATTGGGTAGCTTACATCAAGAAAAATAACGACGTAGAATATTTCGATTCATTCGGTAATTTGAAACCGCCACCTGAACTCGTTGAATATTTAAGTGAAAATCGTATTTTCTATAATAACGATCGCTTTCAAACATTCAATCAAGTCAATTGTGGACATTTATGTTTGAAATTTTTATACAATGGATGCCGATGTAATTCGACGTCTTTTGAAAAGCGCTAAAAATCTTCAAGAATTGTGGTTCGACTTGACGCAAGAGGAGAGAGAAAAATATAAGTCACTTTTACCATGCCAAACGGATCCGAATCGCCATATTTGGTGTGACGTATGTGGACCTACAATGACTTCGCATTGCGTACTTTGTTTAAGTGAATATATTAAGGATAACTAAAATGTAATGTGTCAGTAGTCATGTCGCAATTGTTGAGAGTAAACAGTACTAATCATGTATTTTCGTTTAAACCTCAGACACCTATCATCTTAAATCCTAAGTACGATTATGAGTTAGCACTTAGATCGTTTACATCGTATTACTCAATTCCTAATATTGAAGACGGTGAAAAATTCTACTATTATGATGTAAACGACAAGGACAAATTAAAAATTATCGAATTTCCGGCTGGCTGCTATGAAATTTCCGATATCGAAGCTTTCATACAGAAAAAAATGGGTCTCGATGGTGATCCTAACCTATACTTTTCATTGAAGCCCAACAACAATACTCTTAAATGTGAAATGTATAGTAGTAAATATATAATATCCTTCAAAGAACCTAATAATATCGGTCGAATTTTGGGATTTTCCGAAAAACTTTTCGATTCTGGTATGACGCATTATTCGGATTTGCCAGTTAAAATTATAAAAGTATCGAGCATACACTTTGATAGCAACATTACTTGGGGAGCCTTCAACGGTGACAGACCTTCACATACGATTTACGAATTTTCTATTAGAGAAGATCCAGGATACGCAATTATTGAAACACCTTCGAATCTATTGTATTTGCCGGTTATACCTCAACGCGTCATTACGAATATTACAGTTTTAGCGTTAGATCAAGAAGGACATCCGGTAAATTTTCGTGGTGAAATAAGCACGATTGTGTTGGAGCTTAGAGCTAAACCTAAATGGGATTAGTTATAAGTGATTGTTTAAATCCGAAATTGTTAGTCTGGCCAAAGCCTTCTAGGGAACATCTAACCGCCGAAAACGTTTCATTTCTTCGATCAATTGGATTTATTGTTAAAAATAATGGAGTTCAAACGAAGAAAAGTCGATAATGCAGATAGCGTTGTTTCATCGATGTTTGATCTTTACCGTTCACCCACGATCGATGAGTCAATTCGCAAAGCAGAATATAGAACGTATACTCCGTTTGTTAAATCATTTGAAAATAGTGATATTGTGGAATTTAGTGTGAATCAGGTAGATTCGTTCTTTGCTATGAGCGCTTCTCAATTGGTTATAACGGGAAAATTAGTGGTACAAGGAACTGGCAACGTATCACTGGCATCCAATTTCGGTGCATTCTTATTCGATTCTTGTACGTACAATGAAAGCGGTAAAGAAATCGAAACTGTGCGAGATCCCGGTATAATTAGCACCGTTAGAGCATTAACTTGTTATAAATCACAGGATTCACGTCATATGGCTATAGCAGGATGGAATTATGGATCTATGGAACCGATTTTAAATAACACCAACAAAACATTCAGTTTAATGATACCTCTTAAACATATTTTCAATATTTTCAATGACTATCCCATGATAACATGCGGAAGACAAACGATTCGCCTTGTAAGGGCTCGCAATGATAACGATTGCATCATTATCAAGGAAAAAACTGGCGCTCAACCATCCACCGGAACAAACGCTAAGGTCGTTATCGATAGTATCGAATTGAAAATTAAACATATTTATCCTAACGATGAAGTCAAAGAGAAACTCATGAGAGCCATACAAACGGATCGACCTATATTGATTCCTTTTAGAAAATGGGAATTAAATGAATTACCCGCAATCACTCCTAATGCGAGAAGAGAAATATGGTCAGTTAAAACTAGCAGTGCTGTTGAAAAACCTCGATACGTCATTGTATTTTTTCAAACTAATGCACGTGATGATGCCTCAGCTGATCCTACAACCTTTGATCACGTACATATCAACAATATAAGATTGTGTCTAAATGGTGAATATTATCCCAATGAACGAATGCGTTTAGATTTTGCAAACAATCATTACAATGAAGCTTACTTTAATTACACTGAATTTTATCCGAGTTATTCGCATTCCACACAAAAAGATTGCGTTTTAACTTATACTACATTCAAGAAACATCCAATTTTCATAATAGACTGTTCAAAACAAGAAGAGAGTATGAAATCATCAACTGTCGATGTGAAGTTAGACATCGAAGCAGATGACGGTTTTCCAGATAAAACAAAGGCGTATTGTATACTTATTCATGACTTCTTATTGGAATATTACCCACTGACAGAAGTGTTTAAGAGTTTCACTTAAATTTAATTTGGTCAGTTTTACATCAACAATCATGAAGGTAGCATTCGTTGACATCCAAGGTATCGTAGTTAACGGTGCCTTCCATCCCAAGGAATTGTCAATTCAAATCGGTAATCAACAATCGACATTTTTATTTAAACCACTTGTATCTTACGAAACTCTTAACGGACGAGATAAACGAACCATAAGCTATTTGAAGAGATTTGTGCATGGATTGTCTTATGACAGTGGTGAAGTGGAATACTCCGAAATTAATAAAATATTGGAAAATTATCTGTTCAATTCCGCGGATATTATTTACGTTAGAGGTAATCAGAAAATAGACTTTTTAATGGAAAAATGTAAGGAACTTGGATTTTCATCTTCAATCATCGATGTAACTACGTTCGATAACACGTCGTTTGCTACGGGAAATTTTGTGTCCATCTATCCTAAGTGCCCTCATCACGTATCCAATGGAAAATTTATGTGTACAAAAAATAATGTTAATCACTTGTACTATTGGTTTTTAAATATATTACCTAAATAAACAAAGTGTTTTAATTTTATATCGTCTTGTTTTATTTACTTGTAGTTTATCTCGTCAACAATAACAACTCGGTATAGTAGGTAACCCAATACGGTAACGAGGCGATAGCGATTTTATCTTAATATTTTCCAAGTATTTTTTTTTTCAAATGTACTTCTATTAATTTTTTTAATTTAAAATATTGTCATCCTCTTAAAGGTCACGTTATAAAAGAATTTTAACTGACTTTTAAAAATACGCCACGGCACGTGTTAAATGCCTCGCAATGTTTATCGTTATCAGTAAATACCAACTGAGATAATCGCAGATGTGATGAAGGTCAAACTGTTGCAACGAAGTACATAGGCGTTCCAACAGGTTTTAACAAGTTGTTTCTTACTGTGATTTATTTTTATTAATTAAAAAATTTTTCTGTTATAAATAAAAGACTTACAAATTATATTTAATATTTTAATTCGTAAAACGTATATTACATAATCTTAATCTAAATTATTATGAATCAGATAGTGTCCCCATGGAAGGGTGTCGTGACAAATCATGTAGAAGTTAACGTTTATCATCGAATGCACTTAAAGATAATTTTTCTTGTTCTATACTAAATACGTTAGAGCCGTTTGTAACTATGCTTATTTCAATACTAATTTAAGTATTGAAAATTTTCGTATTGAAAATTGATTGCGCGCGCAGTTTCAATATAAGAAATTAGAACCTGTTCTAATTTTTCGTATTGAAAGCGTTTACTTTTTCGATTTGACAGCTTAAAAAATCTAACCTAAAAAAAGTGAGAATTATAAATTCTAATTTTGGTAAAGTGCAAAAGCAATTATTCGACATTAAAGTGAAAATAATGTGGTCACATCAGCAAGTGTCTCTTTTAATAGGAATGTACAGAGACAATAAATGTTTGTATGCACCAAAACATTCGCTATATATGAACAGAAATGCTAGAAACGAAGCACTGGATCGAATACGAGTAGAACTATTAAAATTAGGACTAAACGTATCCGTTTTGGAAATAAAAAATAAATGGAACAATTTAAGAAACAATTTCCTTGCGCAATATAGAAAATACAACAAGGCCAACAAAAGTGGAGCAGGTGATGAAGAACAGGAGGTAAGAAACAGAAAGTAAGAAAAACGTTTAAATAAAATTAGTTATTTATTTTCTTGTATTATAGCTTGACCGACCCACGCTGTGGTATTTTGACCAAATGTATTTTAAAATCGAGCATTGTCTTCCGCGAGAAGCTGAAGACAGTCTTCTTCAAATAAAAGGATTGAAAGAAAATATTGATCCAAATCTTCAAGAGATGCAAGGGGGGCAAGAATATGAAGTAGAATCAGAATTATCACATATAGAATATTATATGGTAATAGATGAAGATATAACTATTGTAAAAGATACATATTTCTATTAATTAAATATTTGCATTTCTGTAGTTAAGTGAAGAGGATGAAGAAGCCAGAGAATTGAGCAAAAAAGATGATGATGTTCAAAGCATACACACGATAAAAGAACCTGAAGTACGACCTGAATCATCTTGTACATCTGTTGAAACCCTTACGAGAACCCCAGCAAGAAGAAAGGGAAAATTGGCCAAAAATGAAGACACAGAGTTTATGAAGACGGCAAGCCAAGCACTAACCCACTTAACAAATACACTAACACGAGAGCAGTCAGCAACATTATCTACAGTGCATCAGGAACCTCCAAACTCTGTTAGTACTTTTGTGGACTACGTTAGAGACCAATTGAATTTTTTGATGTCTGATGAGAATTTACTTTTGGAAACTCAAGAAAAAATTCTAACAATTATTTGGGCAGCACGTAGAAAGGTAACAGCAAAAAGCAAATAAATCAGAATATTTTTATTTTCCATTTCCTTGTACAAAATAATATGTAATATAATGTGATAATATGTAATAAATAGCTGTATTAATTTGTTGCTTTTATTCTTATATATTATGCTTACGAACTGCATCATTTTGCCACGGAATAGTCCCACGATCACAGTTAAAATATGCTTTAAATTCATCCCTTATTTTGATCGCTTTAGCATTTGTTCTATTACCTGCTTGTTTATTTAAATTATTTAAACACATTATTTTGGATTTATCATCGATTTCAGTATATGCTTTCCAATTTTCTGAAGCCAAGAAGTTATGGAGTGCTAAACAAGCCAAAGTTATTGTTTCTACTTTTTTCGGATTTAAATTTATTGGATTCAGTAAAACTCTAAATCTATTAGCTAGAATGCCAAAAGAACTTTCGATCATTCGACGTGCTCTTGAGAGTCGATAGTTAAATATTTTCTGTGTATGTGTTAATCCCCTCATGGGATAAGGTTTAAGAATTCTCTCACTCATTGGAAATGCGTCGTCTGCTACTATTACAAATGGAACTTTCATAATACGACCACGTAGAGACTGATTTGGAGGTATATTCAAAGAATTATTCACTAAGGCCCTACTTAAATTACTTTCACGAAACACTCCACCATCACTTATACGCCCATTCACACCTACATTATAATAAGTAAATTTGTAAGCTGAATCACACATGGCTAATAGAACGATGGAGTGACTGCCTTTATAATTATAATAATATGACCCATCAGATATTGGTGGTCTAAATGTAATGTGCTTCCCATCTAATGCACCAATGCAGTTTGGAAAATTCCACAATTCCTGAAAGCCTTCAGCAACTCTTAGCCATTCAATACAGGAAGTTGGTGTCTACAATTGTTAAACTTATGAAATTATCCTTACATTGCAACACATTGTGATTATACCTTAAGATACTTTTCTTTTAGACTGGAATAGATTGCTTCACACACCTCTGGTACAAATCTAGAAATGCTACTCTCGTGGATTCGAGTAGAATACATCAACGAGCGAAATGTTTCCCCAGTTGCCAAAAACCGTAATGTTGTTTCCAACCTACAAAATAAGTTAAATATTTTTATGATGTTGCTGTAGGTACTTTTATTTCTCTATACAAACCTGCATCTTGCTGAGATGCTTTCCCTAAAATGTGTATCTTGTTTCATTATTTTATTAGAAACTAGTCCCAATAATTGTTCGAAAACATTGTTGTTCATACGCAAAAAGTTTTTATATGCTGCTGGGTCCTCAGTTAGTAACTCTTCGTTCAACATATTTAATATTCCTCTACCATTCGTCTTCCTTTGAATCCATTTTCTAGTCGATGAACGTTTCTTTTTTTTAATAGCTTTATTTTTAATTTTTGTCATCATCATCATTATTACAATTATCCCCACTGTGCACAGTGTATTTTTTTCCATAATTGAAGGCATTTTATCCATTTTATGACATTAAATTTTGTTAGGTTAGTTTCTATTTTCTTTTTTAAATTAGGTTAAGTGAAACCGATTACTGCGCATGCTTACGCACTGAAAAACTGACTTTACAATTACTACAATCGCAAGCACAGACTTGACAAACTCTAAAATTCAATACGTCTTTTTCAATATGAAAATTTTAAATACTTAAATTAGTATTGAAATAAACATAGTTACAAACGGCTCTTATGATTAAATGAACGAATGCTACATTGTTTTTCATAAAGAGGTTTAAGATTTACCAAACAATCATAGTAATGTTTAAATGTAATTCTGTTCTTAATAACATTTTTTTAACACCTTTCGATTTCTTAACCACCTTATTATTTACTTTATATGAGACCAACAAAATTAGTGATAAGTTTTGATTGTGCTTCATCTTTCATTTTACCTAAAACTTTTTTATTGACGAGTGGAATATTAAATATATTATCTACAGGATAATCACTTGTATCAAATTTATCTATGTCCATTTTTATTACCTCTTCATATACATCATCGGAAATCAATTCGTAAAAAAAACTATCGGTGTCCATATACAGAAGCTTACACCTATCTATACCCATTTTCGGTAAAATATAATCGTAATGAAAATCATACATAACGGTTTTTGATATATCTAAAATAGCCATTCCAATGTATAAGGGTTTATTGAAAATTATTCCAGATTTTCTCATTTCCACAGCCACTAAATTTTCAGCAAAAATCTTTCTCGAATGAAACCTAGGATCGGAAATATAATTTTTTGCTCCGTAACGACCTACCCATGACCGCAAAAGTTTAACGGTTCGATGTTTTCTTACCGATTCCATGGTTTTGCCGAAAACCGCGTTATTCATTAGTTTGAACAAATTTTTTTCGAAATCATTTTTAGCCAACGTTCTAAAAGAATTGTTTAAATCAATATAGCCTTTTAACCATGGTGATTGTTTAAATTTGAGAACTTTATGAATTTTAGTTAACTTTAAACCATGTGTTAATGCCTGTTTTAAATTTCTATAATGAATAACATATTCTTTTTTATCATAAAGTGTTGCACACAATTTTTTAAATTTTGAACTCGATGGAATGAAGTGATCTGCACAGAATGGAAAATCTCGATGATAATTATGTAATTCTTTAGGATATTCAAGATCGACTTGTAAAATGTATCCTTCAGATGAATCGTCAGCTATTTGAGTAATATCAATATTTGTATCACACCATTCAAATCCTCCGTACGGAAGCGGTTCGGACATTGCTTTACCGTATAAATTATTTACATCTAGATATAATATGTATTTAGAAGGTTTGCATGGATCATAATCTGGTATATATTTATTATTTGCTTTAGAATATCTATTGCAACAAACTGATATACCTCCACGTATGCCTTTCTCTATAAACATAACTTTATCAACATCATTAAGTAGTTCAAGTTCGCATTTTTTGTACTTTAACATTGCCGACCAAGTATAGCCAGGCATTGTGTAATACCAACCTGGATCAAGTTCATATGCTTTATAACATTTTTCCCTAAATTGTTCAAATACATCAGCAAGTAATAGAATATCAGTTTTCATATACAAATCAGCGTATTCCCCTAGATTATTTATATTGAAACATTGCCATACGGTTTTTGCATGGTTGTACTGTTCATCATCGATGTGTTCATCATTTAAATAATTATAGAAATCATCCTTTAAAGGTAAACTTGTTTCATTTAATTTTTCCGTTGAATCAATGTAATCGTAAGGGAAAACTCCTTTTCGAGTAAGTAATTTAAATCTATTTTCATCGAGATGTGCAAATTCTTTTTTTAAAATAAATAGATCGCTTTCACTTAAAGTTTTTACTAAACTATCTAATGATGCTCCTAAAAATCGAAATGAATCTATAAATCTAAATTTTACACCGGTTATATCATCATGAAGTGTAAAAGATATGTATCGTTCTTTATTGATAGGTAAAAGAGTAATGTAACCGTTTGAAGCTAAGTCTCTTATCATAAAATGTGAATCATAACCGCTGAGATTATGAAATACTATGGGAACTATCAACTTTTTCTTAAAATTTAAATTACAAGATTGACAACAGAATCCACGGAAAGAACCATCGTAATGATTATGATCAGATACAACGGTATCTGAAGGTGTAAAAGCTTTTTCACAAAGAAAGCAATGACTTGATTTTACTAGATTGTTATGATCCTTCATCGGTACTATATTTTCTGTTTTAGTTTTAACCAAATTGGCGACATTTTTCATTTCATTAGAGAACCACTTCATGCAATCTTCTCCACGGTAGCTTTTATAAAAAGATAACGAATCATCGTGTTGACATTTAAAGTAATAACCTGCACTGTATGCTACATGTAATTGGTATTTTTTCGATTTAGATTTTGAATTTACATCGGTATATTTTTCTAATTTTGACTCGAAATCAGCATAAATTATAAATGGTGTTCTTTGTTTGTAAATAATATCTTGAAATTTAATCGATTGATATTTTGGAAATGACATTTTGTACTCATTTAATCTCGAACAAATCAATACATGTTCTTCAAATTTGTTCTTATCGTGAAAATAATTGAGGCAGGTTTCGCAAATAAACTTTTTATGACCATCTTTGTTGAATTGACTAGAAATTAAGCGAGATAAATTTTTAATCAAACAATAATGAAACTGAATGCCGGATTCATCTTCAGAATCTTCGAGATTTTCTTTCGGTGGTACTTCATAATCATTTAATTTTGGTATATAAAAATTTTGAATAAGTAATAAATTTACATGATTTTCTAATTTCATTTTTGTTACTCTTAACGGTATTACATTATAATAAAAACCTTTTTTTGAGTTGCAATATTCCAAACCGTATACGTTAACTGATATGTTATTAAGTTTTTCAAATTTATGAATTTCTGAAATAGGCGTAGGTAAGGGCAAACCTTCCATTTTGAACACATGATTATAAGGAGGATATGAAGAGGGTCGATCAACGTGTTTTTCAGAAGGGTACAGTGCTGCCACAACGGATCTATAGAAGCAAGCATTGTCATTGTTTTTAATATTGATACAAGCACGTTTTATCATAATTTGTTTCGGTAATTTAATGAAAGATGAAGGTCTTATACCTATATCAAATTTATTAAAATTTATTTCTAAAGAAATTATTTTACTTAAAGCCCAACTTGACCCACGTTCTTGAAATTCAGATAATTTTTTAAAAATTTCATCAATAACGTTTCGTTTAAACCAATCTCGTATATTATCCCCTTTTGTAATGTACCCTCATTTTTTGTACTAAAGTATTTGAAATCATGATCGACTTTATCTTCATCTAAGGATCCTTTTATAAACTCACCAGAAAATGTTGTATTAATTTTCATAGCAGACATTTTTTTTAAAAGAAAATTAATTTTGAATTTAGTTGTTTTAAATGCATCTTCAAAAAAATTATCCAAATCTTTATGCGTTAAATTTATTATAACACCGGTTTGAATGCGATTTTTAAAAGAAGAAGTAAGATTTTCCCATTTAATCCTATCACTACGATTCTTTGATAATCCTTTTCCCTTCTTAGTACCTACATTTTTAATTAAGACACGCAGACGCTTTAAATGACCTAAATTTGTGATGAGATTTCTCTGTTCACCAACTGACAATGTTACATTCCGCAATGCCTTATTAAAAAGTTTAATATTTTTATGAAGATTTTTCACCCATTTATTAACATCATATGGGTTCGGATTTTCAGTAATTATAGCTAATGCTTTTGTACAAACGGTTATTATTTCACTACTAGTATTAATAATCTGATTCATAATACCTAATTAACTTACATTAATTTAAAATCAATATTTCTACTTGATAGGAAAGCAGGTAGTAAAATTAATCAGCATCCAATCTTGAAGCGGTAGTAGGGTTTTATGCACACTGTTCTACAGGTGTCTCCTTAAAAAGAAATTAAAATAATGAAACTTTTTTTTTGTTTAAATATTAACGAAAATTTACCTCTATTTGAAAAAGTATTCTAGGCGGAAGGTTCCCACAATCCTGTTTCCCGGTAATGGTCAAGGAGTAGTTTCCAGAACAAAGTTTATCCAAATGTTTTGAATAACTATCCGTCACTCTGGTGGGTAAAAATGTTACGTAATCTCCAAGTTCAACAAGTATTGAACTACCAAATTTTGTTTGTATAACTTTGGCACCTTGTATAGGGTAGGCTACGCCTATATTTAAATCATTGAATTTTATAATTGGTTTATTCTCTCTGGCTTTCAAGCTCACAGCATTTAGTTGATCTACAAACGACATCTAATATTCTAATTAAATAAGTAATATTAAAAGAAATAAATAACTCACCTTTTTTCTTTAGTAGCTAAT